AATTATTATTATTTTTCTCGAAGTTTTCTCATAAGGCGCTTGTATTCCCCTGGAATGTTGACCCGAAAGCCTCGCTTTCGCGCACTCTGCAACTAATACCGTTGTACCGTGGGCTCAACTGTAATAACAGCTATTTGTTTAGACGTCCCTGGGTTAACTACATATATAAGTGTGCACAGTACCCTCCCTGCGTGGCTCGCGAATTAGAGAGCTGAAAACTAGATTTTGCCATTCATAATGATTTATTGCCGCGATCCATTTCTTTTCTTAAATTACTGCCTAATGCATTTGTTTCAATAAGACCTGTCTGGTGTAAATGAGCTGTTATTGGAACTCAAATTGTGGAAATCAAAAATAACTAATGTCCAGCGCTGAAAAGACTCTTCTTTGACAATTAGTAGGGACCTGATGCTTACAATAATTTCACTTCATAAAAATTGAATCTTAACCTTTCAATGGATTCTCCATTTAAATTTCAACTAATCTATTTCAAGATAACCGAGATTAATCGAAGTGATTTGATGCTTAAAATAATTTCCAGTAGGTATACTAGTGGAAAACACTGCCACTCTTAAGCAAATTATATATGCCTCAATATTGATGTCAAACAAACGCCAAATCATTAACAAACATATTATTGTCGATCGTCATTTTTGCTTAACAGGTTCCCATAGCAACGGGTATAACCAGCAGGTGCTTTATATTCGAAAGCAATGTTGATTTACACACTTTTTCATTACAAACATTTCTAGTTAAAAACCAAATCTAACGCGATCTTGGCTAAAGTAAAACTTTTTTTATATATATACATGCTGTTTGTGCCAGGAAAATTTTTTTCCAAAGCGTATATGATCGTGAGTCAAATTATTAAAACGCACTTGGAAGTATCCAATCCAGACTAGGAATTCAGAAGTGCCAGCAATAGACCGCCTCGAGGGAAAGATAAATGCAGTTTCTTTTGGGCACATTCAGCGATTCTTTTTTCTTTTACCTCAAAACAAATTGCCCAAATCATGTCCTTACCAACTTGATAAGAAAAAAATCGAATTTCTCCTACGCTCCAACAAAGCAACTTCAAACAACGCACTCTGCCTCAACCATAAACAGTTGCTGACAGGAAATGATAAATTATTTAGAACCGTTATCTAGTTATCAGGTTCCTTATTTGTGGCTTTCTGAAGACGACCATTAAAGGCAGAGAAAAGGGTTCCGAAATTGTTGTTATTGTTTAGACAAACCATATAATCAGCTGAGAAATTTGAAATTCAAAACAGAACAAACTTGAATCGCCCGAGTCTCATTTGGAAAGTTATGTTCCTTATCTTTGTCCCAGCGGAGATTTTTAAGTATCTAGGGAAGCTGAATCATGAAAGTTTTCAGAGAAAGGTTTGCTAGCGTAAGTTGACAGCGTGGCAAGTCTAAACCATTCAAAAGGTTCTTCTATTTGATGGTTTTCGCTTCCTTGGTTATTGATAATCTCTGCTGGAGTCTGGTAGTTGTCCTGTCGTCGCATTCTTGGGTTTCGTAATAAAGCTGCGCTGTACGTTTCAATTTCATCTGTTTTCACCACTCCTGATAAAACATCAACTTTACGCCTTCTTTCGCAGAATAGTATCTTTCGGAATTCCCTCTTGAATAGTTGATTCATACCCGCGTATATAAAGGGGTTGATTGTATTGGAAAAGTAGAGGAGAAACATGCAGAGTAGTTCGAAGCTACGAGGCATTTTTGCGACAATACGGAAGCGTCTCAAAATGACTATGACCCAAAACGGTATCCAACAGATCATGAATGCAAACACAACGGCAAAGAGAGACTTGCTGACTTTTATCTCGTGTGCAGTGATGGAAAGGTTTCTCTCGCGCCTCTGAATTGTCAAAGATGCGCCCACGTTGTGCTGTCGAATCCTTTTCGCAACTTTTGTGTAACAAATTACAGTTGCCATCAACGGTAGTAAGAAGAAAAGTGTCACAACGAAACCATAGTGTATCATTTTGCCACTTTCGCTAAGGTGAGCAATAGAACACTGCGCGTACCCTGGTACAAACTCATAGGCTTGCAGGCCAAGCAGGCGCGGAACAAGGGTGTAACAGGCAACAAATGACCACACGGAAGTAAGAAGAGCCCGAGACTTGGCGGCTGAAAACAATTTCCTATACTGTTGGTCTGTCTTGCACATTCTCACATATCTGTTTACAGCAGTGAGGCCCATAGTCACTGGTGAAACATAGATGACAAACAGGCTAAAGAAGGCATGAAGTTGACAAGTAATCCCACCAAAATTCCACTTTCCGGCTATCAACACAGCCGTTCCAATAGGCATGACAAAAACAGCGGAAAGCAAATCGCTCACAGCCAGAGCAATAATGTATAAGTTTGTGGTTGTACGGAGTCTTGCGTTCTTGTAAACTGAAGCGCAAACAAGCGTGTTTCCCAGAAGAGACAGAACATTCAAAATAAGTAAAGAGCTGACTTCCAGAATTGTTAATGGGAGGCCTCTTGCACTCAGGTCATCCGCCATTTCAGTTTTAACCCGGAAGGAAATACGCGGCCTGGGTTTGTCTTCTTTCTCGTTTGAAGTGACGGGAATTCAAGCACTGAGAACCAAAAATTAAAATGTGTAGAACGTTATAAGATACATTAATCCGCAGGTGCAGTTATCCAATCCATGCAAACTCTAATAAACGAAGGGATGAATTAAAACGAGCCACCCGCAAAGGATATCATTGAAAAGCAAAAGGCAGTCCCTTGAGCGCATTGAATAGATATTTTTTTCCGGCTTTCTTCAAAGCAAATTGTCAAATTATTGTTCTGTTCTGTTTGTACATGAATAATTCACTGTCGATGTCTGATATACATGCACCTGGCTAAGTAAATACTCGTTTTATATTTAAAAGTAAAAAAAGCCGTATTTTATCTTTGTGTTATTTCCAGTGCTTTCGAAAAACAAAATGTTCTAAGATAAGCTGATTGTAGTTGAAAAAAGAAATAACATGCTGTACTTTCATTATCGAGATGAAGATAAGACTTGACGTGGACTGAGTGTACTTAGTTCGGAATTGTGGCATAAGTAAACATAATAAGCAGCCTTTCTCAGTTTACAAATGGAATATAAGACCACGCACGTCCCAGAAAAAAAAAAAGTGTTCCGAAATAAAACCAATCCTGAAATAGTAGGTTTCTGAAAGTCAAACATGGACCACTTGACTCTGGTTCAAAATAACTTCAAAAAATACCGAGTGTTTTAATCTCGCTTGACAAGACTGACAATGTTAATAACTGGAGCCATTCGAAGAAACAATATGATGTTGAACGAGGGATCTTTATATTGTCAATATCATGTCAAAAAGGCAAAAAAAAAATTAATCTTTTCAAGATATGTTTCGATGGTGGAAAGGAAACCATCAGAAGGAAACTAAACAAAAGTTGAAATGAGCGCTAATGGGCATTTCCAAAGGTAAAGTGACTGGTATAAGGAAAATGAATCATTTGGCTAACAATTACAGCGACCGCCAGCGATAATTGTTGCTGCCACCCTTTTTTTTTTGTTGTTTAATTCAGCAACCTCTGCCTCTGATATGCCGGCCTTTTTTTCATAGAACATTGATTTGCATGGGAACAAGAGCCATAATCGGGGACGGAGACCGTAAGGGCGCGCCATTTCTAGTATTGGGGCTGTCCCTATGATATGGGACAATTTTTCTATTTTTAGAACAAATTGCGCCATCGCTTGCGGCACACGCGCGTACATGCTGCGAGGATTTTTGCGGATGTCGCGCGGGGGCAATGGCGTCCGAAATTCTTTTGGTCCACAACTCGGCGCGTTTATGTCTGTTGGAATTTTCTTAAGTATTTTCGTCGTAACTTTCTCCAGTTTGAGTGAAGTAAGACAGTGTCGAATTTAGGTAAGTCCTCCTTTAAGCTTATATCACTGACCAAGTTGTGTTCCGCTGCTTCTTCTACAAGAGCTGTACATTACTCCACTCTAAATTTCACATATGTTGAAGATTAACAGCTTTTCCGTAACACAGCAAAAAACTAGTTGGATATATTTAGACATAGCAGTGTTTCAGGACTTCAAAGTTTCCTAACTCCTCTTTCCACACGCTTGCGAGGAATTCGCCAGTCTATCGCGACCGAAAAGTTTGAGTTTTACCTGATTTAATTTGTAAGCAATGCTTAATGTTTTATCAAGGCCCAATAAGTTTACGTTTGTAGATACTGCTCAGTTTTGTTTGTGTAAAAATCCAATACATTGTCTGTTGTCGATGAATTAGAGAGCCCGGCGATGCTTGTTTTGTACAGTCAGTAAACATGACAACTTTCGTGTGAAAACGTACACCGAACTCATACAATATCTCTATAGTATTTAGAAATGTTTAAGGTTGATAAATGTTTGAGAACATATTAAAAGCCTAGCTGAAAATATGTCATCTCATCACAAAAGATAACGAAAGAAATCTTTGTCAAGATTTGTTGACGATAGAAAACACCGACTCGGACTTAAAAGTGCACGCGCTGCACTATGCAAATAAGCTTCCTCTTGAAGACTTTTGCAAACTCGCTAAACAAGCAGAAACAAAAAGGAACCATCAAAATCGGTTTTGGTTATGATTAACCATTGTTTGAGAAACTCACAGATTAACTCGATACAAGAGTAGAGAGTTTTCATGCTATATTCTTAGTCAGAACAAATACAAAAGCCTATGCGTAGGCTTATAACTAGCGCGAGCAGATCTTGTTATTCATTCACAGCGCCAAATTGAAGTCTTGTTTTCGACCCTAAAAAACTCACCCTTTTCGTTAGCTCAGAGCATAAAACTACATATAAGAGCCCAGGTTCTTATTCCCTGCCATCGCTGTGAAAAATCTGCAAGAGAATCTCGCCACTTTCACCATTTGATCAGGCAACGTGACTACATCCACGCGAGAGCCCCCGACATGTGCGTGGATCCTCGCGCATATATGACGTCAGGATGGTGCAATTTGTTCTAAAAATAGAAATATTGTCCCACATCATGGGTGCGCGCGGATCCCAAGACTTACGGTCTCCGTCCCCGATTATGGCTCCTGATGGGAATCAATGGAATTACTTCGATTAAACAACCGCTGGAAATTGTAAAGTTCCGAGGTTAGCAAATATCGACCACAATCTACAGTTTGCGCGCGTGTAATTAAACAAGGATTGGAAGAAAATTGTGAAAAATGGCAAATGATAGACATCTTTAAACACAATAGTTCTCAATCGGGATAAGTACAGCGATTTATTTTTCCCAGTTCGATAATTTGGTTAAGGGTTCTATTCTACATTACGGCCCTATCATGAAAAAAAAAGACAACAACGGCTTGTTAGGTTTCTAAAAAGGTAGATTTAACAGGCCTCCTTTAAATAATAGTTGGGCTAAAGGGTTGATATGCACACATTGTCAAGGCAGTTTAATTTACTTTACTTTTGTCGTTTAAGTTCCTTTCACCCGGGATGGGGTAGGGCGATAGTTGTAGTTAATATAGTTGCCATAACTATTGTGTACTCCTCTTACATTAATGTTTTGTATTCATATATAAATTTATGCTTTTTCCTCCGGGCTTCTCCTATTAACGTATCAACTGAGTGCTGTATTAACTGAGCTCGTTTACTGGCCAACAATAATTTTACTCTCACACAAACGTTTGGAGTAAAATGGCTGAGGGAAAACCCAAAGCCGCTTTTATTGAAATAATCAATTTATAATTCATATAAAATTTACAATCTCTTAGAAATCTTTTGGCCCAGTAAAGGTGAGGGCAACCAAAACGCCATGCCATATGTCTTACATCCTGCATAAACATAAACAAGGTGGACAGGATCAGGGGAGGAGGTGGGAGTTCAAATAAGTGTCTTCCCTCGATGGAAAATCTGAGGGAACGCACAACCAGGCTCGATAGCGAGGTTACTAAGCAAGCATTTGCCTAGAGGGGTTGCAATGTATTGCTCCTATCCTCTACCCCAAACCTGTGTCACGCAATACTACGTGACTGTAACAAGCAACAAGACCAGAGGGAAAAAACATAAAAATTCTATTTGCAGGCAAATATTTTATTTAACTATTTTAGACGTCCTTCATAGCATAGGAATAGCGTTTTTCCTCTTCTTTTTTTCTTCTTGTGTGTGCATTTGTGCTTCAGTTTTCTTACTGACCTGTATTTTATTTTTATTTAATGCTGATGTTAACTGGCTGCCTGGCTTCGCTAGCTCCTATGGTTATTCCAGACAGCTAGTACTGTAATTTTAACTTTCAATATTTTCATTGAACATTGTAATTTTTTGTAGCAAGAGTGAGTACAAATAAAGATTGATTGATTGCTTGATTGATTGATTGATTGATTGATTGGCGAAATACTTATGGCCACGTTATAGTTTTTTTCATTACGCAGAAGATCAAAATAGTTGTAACAATTTAGTGACAAATCTAATATTCGATGGCTATATAAAAGATTGCACAAAAAAGCAAAACAGGCACACGGGATGTGGGGTGGCGTGGGGGGAGGGTTGACTACAGTTATGTCAACAGCTGTTACTGGAATTCTGGAAACTACAAACGCCATTTTACTTGTAAATTTGATTCGTATTGCTTTGAAGTCTTCCACATGCATTCAAACGACTATTTGTACTGGATTAAGGCAATCTGAAAGAGACTGCTCGACAACTTAAGGAACTTTTGTTACTTAATTACACTTGTTTTTGGATGGATTTCTGTCAACTGATGGAAAACTGTTTATTCTAAATTACTTCATTTTGTAGAAATCTAGATATGAGAATTTGATATTCATCGCTTAATGATTTGTCATCAGTAAAACTACATCAGAAAATACAAGTTGCAAGAATTAGAAAATTTCAAATATCTTAGGAAAGTAATTCCATTAATTCCATCAATCATTGTAATGAACCGGCTTTTCCTTTATGAAGCAAATATCAGATAATATTTAAATTCAGAAAAGCTCAACAAATAGGTTTATTTATATACTTTATTTCCGAATAAAAGATGTTACTTTCAAACTTTGAAAGCACTTGGAAATGTAAACTTGAATGTAAAAGAGTAATTACTGCTAAACGATAATCACGAGCAAGATCGCCATATCAATAACAAAAGATATAATTCATCATTTTGGCTGTGCTGAAACCCTAATACATTATCTCTTAGGCAAATTTGGAATATCAAAATAGTCAAGATTCTCTTAGAAAATGTGGCGAAAAAAAAAATGGGAAGAATTTTACTAGTGAAGCTAAAAAAATACCCAGGAAAATAATTAACCACGATAAAGCAAATTTTGGTGAAATCAGGTTGCTTGTTTCCTCTACAGAATTCAACGAAAATTTTAGTAAAAATAACTTAAGGACTTTCACGCCTATTGGTAATGGCATCCTTTGTTCTGCACACACGATCAATTCCTTTCCAGATTTTATCCATGTTAACAAAAAAAAGTTTTAAAAGTCATAATAATAATAATAATAATAATAATAATAATAATAATAAAACAGGAGAAATCTGTTTGCGAGAAGTTAGAAAATTTCGCTTTTTCTGCTCTTGTGCGAGCAAACTTTTGGTCCAACGTGGACAGGTAAGGCCGATATTTATTATTTTTTCAGGCCCATTCTACCCCAAGGAGTGACATCAGCTCCAAACGTTTAATTAACGTTCTCATTTGTGCTGAATTGGGTACGTTGCCGATCTAAATTTCACTAATGTAGCTTTTCTAACGTCGATAATTGTAAGCTA